AAAAAAAAAAAAAAAAAAAAAGAGAAGAGAAGATTGATGTTGAGCGTGGATTCGCGCGCATGTCCGAGAGTAGAGAGAGAGAATAGTGTCTAGGGAGGGTGATGAGGTGGGGGTGGTGGTGGTGGTAGTTCCGACGACTGGGGGATGGGACAGGCAGGTTGGGAAGAGGGGGTGTCAGGGGATGTGGGAGTTAGACAAGGGGTCCAAGGGGGGTATTAGGGTCGGGAGGAATGAAGAGGACGTCTACTAAAGCTGTGGTGGTAGCATATCCATCTATCTCTCTCTCTCTCTCTCTCTCTTTCTCTCTCGAATACGACGCAGTGTGTAGTCGACAGCATCCCGGCGCGGGTGGTCGTCTCGGATCGAAGAGAGGAGAGACGGACAAACAAGGGCCCGGGAAAAGCCGGCGGCAATTCGTATTCTATTATCTTATTTTGATCTTTTTTCTAATATAACGAAAAGAAAAACAAAACAAGATCACGTTTCTTCAAATTTTCCATCTCGTTATTGGTTAACAGTTTTTTTCACACCTATTAAATAATAATCCTATATTTTAATCTCATCGATGTAGTATATTTCTCTGCTTAAACTGACTTCGTCGTGAAAAAATAAATGGAAAATTCGTTTGAAAAATTCGGGGTTGTAAAAAAGATGCTCGTAAAATTTGACTAACACACCACCACCAGCACTACCACTACCATCACCACCACTATTCTACTCCACGACGATCGTGATTCTTTATAAATAGAAAAAGAAGAAGAAGAAAAAGAAGAGTGGCGGAGGATGGTGGCAAAAAGGAAGAACGCGCGAGCGGAAGAGATTTGAGCGTGGCGGTTGTTCCGAGAATACGCGGAAGCGAGAAAGAAAAAGAAAAAGAAAAAGAGGAGGAGGAGGAGGAGGAGGTGGTGGTAATGGTGGTGGAGGAGGAAGAGGAGGAAAAGGAGGAAGAGAAGGAGTAAAGAAAGAAGAGAGGAAGGAGGAGGTATCAGTTACTCTGGCGTCTCGTTCATCTCGTCCAGTTCGGTTCACGTTCGTGTTCTGTCGCGTGCAAAAGAAGACACACATTACATATATATATCTATATAGATTTGTTTTCGTCTTTTTCGTTAACATTCGAATTCACGAAGACGCCCCTCGTAGACTCGCGTGGCTACCCTCCGCGACCGCACCTGTCTCGGTCGCGCGCGCACCTTTTCTAACACAACACACAACGATAACCACAAACAGGAATCAACAAACCCAACGATGATTGAACAAAACCAAAAGAAGAATTAAAAGAAGAAGAATAAGAAAATAGAAAGAGACAGGAACTATCAACAGGAGGAACAACAACAACAACAACAGTAACAGTAGCAGTAGTAGCAGCACCAACCCAGCATCAGTACCAGAACCAGTACCAACACCAGACTACGAAGAATTTCCTTCACGATGTCGCGTTGGGAACCCGCGAAGTGTGTCGTTGCTATTTTAAAGTAGTACGTATATTCCGAGCTCGGAGGACGTTCGTCTCGTTCGTTTATTTAGTTAGTTAGTTAATTTTATTCGTTCTCACTATTTTCTAACGATATTTCTACGAATGGTTAATACTTCTCCATGAGGTAAACAATAAATATAATAATTTTGATACGCGGATATTATTTGATAGAAATGCAACAAAAAAACAATGATAAAAGTTGACGGTACGTTGACCACGTTAACTATCCTTTAACCGCTATTACACAAATTACTTTGTTGTATATATATATACATATATATATAAATTACATATATATATATATATATATATAACATCTATCGCTGCTTAACGCTTGCGGTACTACTACGGTCCATCATCCACACAGCCACCCAACAGAACCAACCAACGTTTCGAGCACGCGCGAAAAACCTCCCGCCGAATATCCCAAGAGGAAAGAATGAGAAAGAGAGAGAGAGAGAGAGAGAGAGAGAGGGAAATAGTTAACTAATCGACCGTTTTATTACAAACCTTTATCTCTCTTTCTCTCTTTTTTAATAATCATCTATACGCGTGCTTTCCTTTTCTTTTCTTTCTAATAATTATCATCTATACGTGCTTTTCATTTTTCGCGCTAATTTTTTTGTTCTTTTTTAAAACACCATTAACGTTATCGTATGAACTGTTTCGTCGTTATTTCAATGTTGATAAATTAAAAACGACGTAAAAAAATATAAATCGTTCATCGTCGTATAATATTATTTTCACGATAGTTCGTACGATACGATTAAATTTAGGATCAATTAGATTATCTGTTATCGTTGTCATCGTTATCGTTTTCGATAACGAATCACTATGTCGTGAGAATAAAAAAAAAACAAAATAACAAAAAAAAGAACTCACGTGAGATTCTCTACTCGCGTATTATTTTACTACCCGTTATATTCACCGATAGATTTTAGACGAAAGAGAAGCAAAATATAACAAAAAAAACAACAAGGAAAAAGAGAATACGGACTATATACTAACCCAACGGTGGTGCATCGGAGCGTATGCGTTTTAGCATCGCGACGCATGCAAACACAATAGCAGTAGGCAAGGCTTAGGAAAGCGTGTTCGTTGAGCATCAGTGAATACGTCACGATGTTTTATTTTCAAGTTTTTATCATTCGTATCGCGTGCCGTTTGATGTGTCAACCTTGTTTTTATAGGTAAAAACGCAATTTCTTTCCTCCCTACACTATTTCAAGCCATTACTATTATAATCCGGCCTATATATTCGGCCTTGATTTTTATTCCTCTTCTTTTTTTTTTTTTTTTGAAATTTATATTAACCGTTCTACAAATTTTCTTTCAATCGAAAAACAAATTTATATCAACAAAATCCGTCGACGGACAACTAAACATAGTATGTATATTTATTATAAAATTCAAGGATAAAATGTTACATCGATAGACGAGTTTTTCATTTCGAAATCTACTTGCTGACTCACTAAACCGTATCGACGAGAAGAAAATATTATAATATATATATTCATATTTTATATATATATTTATTATATATAAAAAGGCATTCGTGTATATATACTTGTAGGTAAAACAGACACGCTTTAATTACTCATTTTTCTTAGCCGTTCCAAAAAGGCAACGACGTGTGATACCATAAAAAGAGAGAAAGAGGGAGAGAGGGAGAGAGAGCTAAGTGAAGAAGAAGATGCGTGCACGCGGTTAAAACGGTATAGGTGGTTTAGCATAGTATAACAAGTAACTAAAAACTGCGACCGTATTATACATGACGATTATGATGTTGATAACGATGACAATGACAATGACGATGAAAAAATATAACAACGACGGATAAGTTGTTAAATCCTTTGCTTCTTTTTTACCACACACACACACACACGAAGGGCAAGTTATTTCGTGCTCGTCTCGTTACTTAACAAATTTCATTGGATCATTAGAATTCCCCTAGTGGGAATATTCTTCCCGCGAGACCTCTTATGGGATATTACCATTTTTCTGCTGCTACACACACTGCTCGAAAAGAAAGGGGGTCGCGGATTTTCTTCGTTAAGGGATTAATTAACGACAAAAATAAAATAATAAAAAGGAGATCATGCCGAGTTACTTGCGGGACGCAAGTATAAATATAGAGTTACCAATATGCGCGCGTTGTGTCTAGATTATCTTTTGCCGTGTTATTTGTCCCGCAGAGAAGTATCGACCCATCTCGAAATATAAAACGGGATATCGAGTAGCCCGAAGATAAGAAATAAAGCATTCTTTCCTCCCTTTTCTTCCTATTCTTCTTCGTTACAGGACAACGTAAAGAAAATAAGAAACTTATTCTACTTTTCTTTTTTTTTTTTTTCCTTTTCCATTTTTTTCTAAATAAATCGCGATTTGTTTTGCACCTATATATATAATAAGAGAAAATAAAAATAAAATAAAAAAGATATTGAACGATAAGTATCGAAAAAAAAAAAGAAACAAAACTTGATATCGTATTTTAACACGAATTAATAAAACATTTTGTCAATCCTTTATCTTTTAACCAAGACATTTTTTCAGTCACTCGAATCTCTTTCTTCAAACTCAAGTACGACAAGTGTACGATGATAACCATCATCTTTTGCTCTCTCTCTCTCTCTCTCTCTCTCTCTCTTTCTTAGAGTAATTTAATTAAACCATCGAGCTATCTTCAGGGACCACTCCCACTAATTGCGATCTTTCGATCTCGCAGACGGCGCACCAAATGACGAGGAGACAGAGAAAAAAAGAAAACAAATTAAATGAGATAAGAATGAGAGGTATGTGAAAATAATAATGGGAAATATTATCGATGTAAACAAAACTGTTAATTTTTCGTTTCTTTCGATAATATAAAATACGTCGATATATTATATATATATATATATATATATATATATATATATAAAACCCGTTATCTCATTTTCTATTTCGAGAATTTAACCTTCAACCTATATCGTCATCGTATTTGTCTATATAACGAGAATAAATTTTGTTCTTATGCAGAAAATGAAAAGAGAAGAACGGGGAAGGAAGAAGATCATTTCGTTTTTCGCGCGAAAAATTGAATAATAATAATAATAATAATAATAATAATAATAAATCATTGATCGAAAAGTGTCATCGATCTTTCACGTTATACGTTTATCGTGTTGTTAGTGAGAAAAAAGTGTTGTTATCTGTATAACACGGAAGAATGAAGATGATAAGAATGAATGTACGAGTCAAATATGTTCTTTTACGATACACCAAAGACACGTTAATCACTCGTCAAAGTCTACTTACGTTCACGATAACAGAGAGATTAATTGAAAAAAGATAGAACGATTAGAACGAACGTTTGAAAAGAAAAAAAAAAAAAGCTTAATCCCTTTGGATCTCGTTGGAAGATATATATTACGTTCTACAAAAAAATATACCTGCACACACACACACATACACACACACAGAGAAAAGAAATTTTACGAGCGATATAATAATAAAAATCATCGCAACGAAGTGTAAACTTTTTTGTTTGTTTCTTCCATTTAATACGAAAGAGATGATTGCCTATTATATTGGAAAAATAAAAAGAAATAAAGACAGATAGATAGGTAGATAATAATAATAACAATGTATGGGATCGAAAGCGCGTGCGCGTTGACGTGCGTGTTGTGTTTGGTGCACGTCAAACGAGATCACGCTACGAGATAATTACGACGACAAGTTGTCCCCGTGGATGAATGAACGTGACCCGCACATTTTTTCTTACACTACACGGAGATAGAAAAAGAAAAGAAGAAATTAAAGGTGAAATAATAAAGGGTGGGAAAATAATAGAAAAGGTAGGAGTACGTGGAAGAAGAAAAAGAAAAAGAAGAAGAAGAAGAAGGGGAACGTTGCCTATCTTCATAGGTGAGAACGATAAGAAAAGGAAGAAGAAAAAGAAGAGGAAGTGGAAGAAGAATAAGAAGAATAAGAAGAAGAAGAAGAGAATAGCGGTTTCCAAGGCTTTTAGATTTGTTCGCAACGTGCCAACTTTATACAACACCTTCGTGATATACGCGAGTGCCAAGAACTGCTACTTTCGTGTATATAATAATATACACGTGTATAATAAATATATATATATATACACATTATATACATAGTCGTGATCTTTTTTCTTTTTTTTTTTCTTACGTTAGAAAAGAAAGTTTAACGGAAGGAAAATAAGGGGAAGAAGGTAGAAGAAGAAGAGGTCGACGTATGCGATCGGCAATAATTTGTGTCCACCAAAATCCGAGTTTTAACTCGATTTATTACTCCACTTATCCCTACCTCCCTCCCTTCCCACCCTTCCGTTCTCTTCTGTTCCATATATATCTATCTTTGATTTATCGTGAATTATTGTTGTTATGAGAATCGTGGATTATAATGGAAAGGAAAAGTACCGAAGCAAGACCGAAGATCGAAATCGTACGTGTCTCATCCATCGAACGGCGAAACTTTCGTCCCTTGGATGGGGTGCAACTTCGTGCTGCCTATAGTCACGTCAGAGTTGGAATTTATTGTCCGGAACCGGAAACGAAACCAGTCGTCGTTTGCGATAGCAAACCGCCCATCGAATACACGAGAAAATTTAAAAAGTAAGTTATTATAACTTTGCTACTTTTTTTTTTCTTTTTTCTATTTCGTTATAATTATTTTTGTGTTCTTTTTTTTGTTTTCTTTTTCTTACAACAACAATATGTCACATTTTATTCGCGTCGAATTATTTTTCCCTTTTCTTATTTTTTCTTTTTTTTTTTTTTTCGTTGTTGTTTTTGTCCCACGAATATCACGGATTTCAATGGAATTCAGGTCGAATTATTAACGCGTACGATAGTAATAAGTTTCGCCCATTAAAATGACCGAATTAAATTCTCGACGATCAGTTGAAGTCTTATGTTTATTATTTCGAAAGCGTCTAGTTAGAATTACAAATTGTGACACAGTAAAACTTTTTACCATTCGTTACGGAAACTTTGTGCATATATATATATTTATGCACATAGTTTAATAAGGTTTACGTATGTATATACACATTGTGATTAATTCATTATTTTTATTCATTTATCATTTTATCGAGTAAAGATCGTGTCTTCAATTTTTATGTATTTAAATATTGATATATACAGAAAGTTGCAATTAATTTATCTTTAACAACTTAAGATCAACCTTTGCTTTTTCAATTGAATATCAAACTTTATGTAATCGATATGCCCACTTGATACTTTTTTTTTTTTTTTACATGACCTTTTAAGAACGGAGATGCAAAAGAATTCATTATTACGTGCCGCAACGCGTAATGGAATGTCATTGCATGTTGCAACGAAACGTCTAGTTAAACTCGACGTAAGATTGATCATTATTTTTTTCTTTTTCTATTATATTTCATTATATGCAAATATTCGGTAGGATTAATTTAACGAACAGAAATATTCCTTTTTGTAATAGCGTACCTTCACAAAATCCTATATCCATTGGTGTAATAATAAATCTCTAACGAAAAAAAGAAAAAGAAAAATAAATAAAAAAAGATTCGCGAAAGAGGATTCCCCATTCGTTCGTTGAAGTTTCCAATTTTTGCTAGTCGGACGAGCGGAACGAACGAAAGTCGACCTACATTAATTCTAGGAAAAGCTGTGTTCTCGGTTCCGTCAGAACGTCATGCAAAAATATCAAGAAGATAAAATATACTTGCTACACGTGGCGTTGCTATGGTTAAAGTTAAGAGGCCTATCGACAAGAGAAGTATGTATATACGTTACCACAGGCAACTTCAGAAAAGGTTCGTGTGTTGTTGGGGTAGGTTTTGGTACTGCTGTTCGTGAATGAATGCCGAAATAAACGATCGAAGCAACCGTGTCGTCTCGTCACAACTATATAATTAAACCGTCCTTTTTTTAAAAATCTTTCCTAAATAAATTTATATATGAATGTGTGTATCTAAATTTACAAAATATTCTCAAAATTATGGATCAATCAAAAGACTGCGGGGTAGATAAAAAAAAATAAATCGAACGGAATGACACAATTATTTTGAAACAAAATAATCGAAGAAAAAGATCGAATACATTTATACGATTGTTTATCATCCCCGTTTCTCCTAATTTTGGTTTTGTTTTGTTTTTTTTTTCAGAAATTTGGGACCAGTATCGAGACTGTTGAGACGTCGTCATCACGCGACGTGTCTTGCAACTAAATCCTGTGATAACATTTATAGCGTGAATAGAAATAGTAATTCGTTGGATTGGAGATTAGGACAGAATGCGAACGAACAAGGTGATATTATCCTTCTCTCTCTCTCTCTTTCTTTAAAAAGAAATATATAACTTGAACTATAGTGGTAATTGAAAAAAAATAAATAAAAAACTTGTAAAGAAACAAAATCCAATTGTATCGACTAGTTACTTTGTTCCCTTTTAGGATTACAATCTCGACAAAGTGGTAGCTTAGACTGGAGAGTTGGAAGATCTGTCACTTTCGGTTCTAACAAGCTTCATTGGCGAGATGCCACTCGTAGTGCAGAACAACTTTCTGCCAATACTCCGATCGGTTCTGATCATATTCAAACGCCAAGTACCAAGTAGGTCGATTCTTACTTATATATGTACATATATTGTTTTTTTTTTTTTTTTTTTTTTTTTATATTGGTTGGATGTAATACATATACCTACTATTATATATAGCAGGTATATACATATATATTTTTTTTTCATAATGTAATATATATACCTATTATTATATTATAATAATATAACTTACCCCAAGATGTCATTTCACCTAAGGAAAAAAAGAGAAAAAAAAATGTATTATTTGTTCTTTTTTTTTTTTTTAGATCAAAACTCGTATCGTTACTTAGGCGACTCTCACCTCGTCTTTCACGACCAGGAAGTAAAGGATCCTTGCAATCGTCGCCGACTATTTGTCCATGGGTCCAAGTTGAATATTCGACGGAATCGATCGATGCCTCCAAACGAGAAGAGTCCCAAGAAAGTGACTTGACCTTTCAACAGGAATTACAGTTGAACGAGTTGAGAAAACGAATGGCTGGAATCGCTTCAACTTCTCAGGTAGTTCCTACCAATGTCGATCGTACGCCATGATACAAAGTACGATCGAAGTAATTGAGCTTTGAAAATAATAATGATGATGATGATGATTATTATTATTATTATTATTATTATTATTATTATCATATTAGTATTATTACGTCTAATATAAAATGAAAGAGGAAAGAACAGAATATTTTTCTTACACATTAATAACGATCGATCGATCTTAAATTAGTAACAATGTTGACGTCACTTAAAGCGGACTACTCTCTCGATGAGAAACCATTCGGAACGAAACATTATCTAAGGTGTGGTCATTAATGATTTCCGGTTTTCTTCTTATGCTTTAATCAACGTAAGATGAACAAGATAACTCATCAGAAAATATACGATTTTGTCTAACGCGTACGTTTTATTAATCCGTGATCGCGTCTCTCATTGAATATTCTTCAAATCTATTCGATTTATTTTAGTTTCTTCTTCTTTTTTCTTTCATCACGATAATATCGCATATATACAAATATATATATATATATCATTTTAAAATTGCAATTTCTTACGTATATCAGGTTATTACAAAATCTACAAACGATAATGAAGATCAAATAGTGCCACATCCGACCTTTGAAGTACAGGAATCCAACAGCATCCATCGTAACGACTACATCCATACAGCGTAAGCTTTTTAATTTTTTGTTTTTCTTTCAATTCCCCAGACCTCCCTACCCCACCCCCGCTCCCCCAAACCCCTTATCGCGGTTTAAATTCTCGAAAATGAATTTTATAATTTGTTTGATTAATATCAAATTAAAAGGACGTCTTATGATGGAACAACCAAAGATCATATGATGTACATATGAATATGTGTGTATATATATGCAGAATTTCTCGATTTCGTTTCCTATTATATAAAAAGGATTTGTATAAAAATTGAAAATGATTTTGATATATATTTTTTTTTTTTTAGCTTACTAGATCCTCACCTATCTTTTATTTTTTTCGTATAACAAGAGTAACGATTTAATTTTTTTCTCCTTTCCAATATTTATCTTCTTTTTTTTCTTTTTGTTAAATTCTTTTTTCTTTCTTTAATTCTTACAGCTCGTTTCATCTCTTAAAGTATGGAAGAAAAGTTTTGATAATCGTTCGTTCTAATAGTCTCAATCTAAATTTTGCATTAGCCAATAGAAAGTTAATGATTGCTCGATAAATGTTAATTAACAATGGCTAATATATAATGTAGGAAACTTTTCTTTCTAACATTCACGTACATAGACATACACAAATACATATATCATACTATGCACCTTTCCATTCACATTATGCATGATCTCTTTCCGAAACGAATACCTTCACCACTTTGTATATGTTACTCTCTATTAGATTATGTATATGCTGCACTTAATAAATAATTGCGAATGTTTCCCTGCATTGTGATCTTAATTTTCACCTTAGATGTGTTCGCTAAATGACTCGTGCCATAGGACAAATACTGTCATTGCGTTTAGATGACTGTCCTTGGTTAAATTGTTACATAATGTAAAAAGGAGAATGCAAAGTATACAAATTTATGAAAAGAAAAAAAGAAAAGAAAATACAAGAAATATTATATGCTCATATAAATTCTGGTAATTTTATTTTAATAATTCTGTTTATTTTTATTTTAATATTTCTTTCGAAATATCAATTAATCTTTTATATGATCTCGAGTGTTGATTTGATCATCGGTTAAATGAGATGTATTATACATATCTTTTTCTAAAAAATAATTCTTGTATTTAAACGACGCATCGAAGTATAACGGCCGTTGAAAAATTTAATCGCACCTCAACGCGATAAATACTATTCAGTATATGTACATATTAATTTATAGAAATAACCATTACAATAATGATTAACATATTTGTGAACACAAGTAACATTTCCAGTTTTATAAACGAAACATAAATAATTGTCTCTCGAAGGTACTTGAATACATAAACCGCATTTCTCATTGGGTTTAACATAATCTATTGTATGCAACGAATTTATATTTTTAGTATGAAATTGAAGGATTAAATCCAAAGAACCCTCTTCGTTTCCGTCTTCATCTTCGTCTTCGTCTTCATCTTCGTCTTCGTTATCGTCTCCATTTTTGTTTTCATCCTCAATTTCAATATCCATTTCTTCTTCTTCTTCTGTATGTTCATCATCTTCTTCTTCTTCTTCTGTATGTTCATCATATTCTTCTTCATCTTCTTCTTCTTCACATTCATCATATTCTCGTTCTTCTTCTATTTCCTTCGTGAAATGGTCATTCGAATAATAATCATCAGTGTTTTTTAGTTCAGATGAGATATCACTAGTATCAGTATCACAAAAAATATCTGATCCTTGCGTAGTACGTCGCATTTTTATATCTGGTTCAATTTTCATAAATATTTTACTTCTTTCCGTTTCTTGTTCATCCTTACATTTATTATTAGCTAAAGGTGTGCTAGTACTTATAAAGTTATTGTCTATATTTGTACAGATAGTAGCATAACTTGTAGATTCGGAAATATCGCTGCTCTGAGATTTCATAAATGAACTTTTCTTATTTTGTATATTAAATGTAAAATATGTGCTACCATTGCTTTCTTTACTACTATTACTCATTTGGCTATTATTAGTTTCTTTGCTACTATTAGTATCTCTGCTACTATAAATTTCTTTGCTGTCAGCACCGGTACTAGATTCCAATGTCGTTATTTTCTTACTTTCTCGTGAAGCTATATCAAGCATATCAGATTTTGCTTCCTGCATTTCAATATCTTTTACATTTTGTTGGTTATTGGATTTATCGACTATCATGGTATAACGACCTTGCGTCCATCTTTGCAATTCAATGGTCATTTTTGGTTTCATATTTGGTTCCATTGAAACAAGATCCAATTCCGTATAACGTTTAAGAAGATCAAAGAAGGCTTTAGATTTAAACATATCATAAAAATTCTTTAAAAATCTTGGCAGAGTCGTTTCATCAGCTATTTCATAGTTTCGTTCATCGGCAGGACCAAGTTTTTTCCAACAAATACTTTCAGAGACAATTTCTTGTGAAAGTGTATCATATATATTTTCTACGAAAAATTTGGCAAGCAATATATAAGATTTTTTTTCTATTGTCTTCTGGATAGATTTAACATATTTTTCTTCCATATAGATAGACTTTATCCATGTATCTAAGTTACTTTCCATGTCCATTGGTTCAATATATTTACATGGTAATACAGGTCTTGGCGGTCTTTTTTTCTCTGGAATAATTATTGGACCCTTGAACCAGCCATTAATGGAACAACGAGTTTTTTCCTTGGTAAGCACTTCTGCTACTTGATGGAAAGAGTTGTCTGTAACTTCAAAAAAGATGAACGAATTAGGCTCTGGTAGCAGAGACCGTACTACATTCTGAGGAAATCCATTTTCATCTGTATCGAAAAGATCCAAGGTTCCTCCATATTCAGGAAGCCATTTCGATGAGAGATACAATATATAAGCTATTTTTCTTTCACCCATATTATCATCGTGGCAAAGCAAGTAATCTGTATTTTTGTAAATTGAACTCGACATTGAGATTTTATTATTCAGTTCAATTTTTGTAACATGTTTCATCCATTCGGTCATATCTTTTTTAAAAGTTGAATAAAAAAATTGTATATTAGGTTTGCTCACAGATTTAAGGTCTTTTGATTGTGCAAATTGATGTAGATCGTTAAAAGTTTTTTGATATTTGATTCCCGCTAATTCACCTTTGAGTTTCTTTAGAAATTGTTTGTTATCCAGAAAATTAGATATCTTACAAACTCTAAAAGGTTTTGTTATAATTTCAAATTGATCTGTCTTAATCTCGTTATAATTGCACCAGTTGTTTGTAACTAAGGTCTTAAATTCTTCACTTTCAACATGATCTGAAATAATGCTACACTTCGGTTTCTTCCAGTCTGGTTCATCACTCAATGAATCGTTTGCCGACATGTTTCAGTAAAAATCTTTTTAATTTAAATTGACTAGTAATTTGTTAATTTTCTGTATAAAAAGTACTTATTTCTAGTCAATGCATTACTTTCAATATAAGCTAATATTATTTTTTGTTCTTCTTAGATGATATATGCTGATAAATTTTCTTAAAACATTTAAAAGTAAGGTTAAAATAAATATTATATCACATCTTCCTAATACGTAATATTTCTCGTTTAACCTAGTTATATATTTTTTATATTCTTTCACTAGCTCATTCGTATTAATAGTGTGAGCGTGATGCTTATAAATTCATATAAATTTTTCGAGAATAATCTTTCGTAATTTTGTTTTCTTGAAAGCATACTGTAAGACACGTTAGTTTTTAAATGGCCCACGTGGTCGTTTAACTTATGTATTCTGCAAAAAAATTAATCAATCGTAAGATACAATAAATAGTAATAATTCTAATATATGATTAAAAAATAAGTTAGATTCATTGAATTAGTTAATAATTAAAAATACAAACCCACTGAAGCAGAAAGCGTAATAATATTCCAAATTAACAAGTAACAGATTTCCTTCCGTATCGCACAGTATTCTACTGTCACATAACATGTCCGTCGTGATATTATTGAAGTTGAAAACATTGACCGGATCGAAGTCAGGGATGTATTACGTAATATTCAGTACCCGTTCTGAATCTTCCTCTGTATTCTCAATTTTATTACCGACGAAGGATGAATTCGAAAAGCGCGCTAGTTTATCTCGTGCTGCGCATGAGTGCGGCGCATGAGCACACCGCAGTACGATGTTAGGCCGATTGACGGCGCTGACGGCGTTCGGTGCCAAGATGGCGACAGCGTTACGCGTTTGACGGATGCCGTTGGTCCGCATGGAAATTCGGGGCACACCCTCGCCGCTAAATTCTACTAAGTGAGACGTCGTCAAGCACGACCAGCCTAGATATCGCGAAATAGAAGCTCAAGGAAGCCTACGCGTCTGCCAAAACTGGAGTCCGGAAAGCCAACCTCGCACGCATACGTAAGTTTTTAAAAATGAACTTCTTTAAACGCGACACCATCATCGCTCTCTCGAAAGAGTGACTAAGAAAGAAAGAGCTATACACGCACGCATGGATTTTGCATATATTCAAGAGAAACTGCTTTAATTGATTTATTCGTATTACAATCATTCATTGACGTCTTCTCTTCTTTTTACCTAACCGTTCCTACGTTCTTACAAACATTTCCTTCGAGCATCTTAACCCAACGATAATCCTTAATTTCTTTTATTCGAAAAAAGAATCATCTTAAGACAACAAGCTCCAAATTAGATCGGTATTGTTTATATCCAAATTAATTGATTTATTTCAGAAACATATTTCTCTTATAGAATATTTGTTAAACCTATTTATTTCGTATTATCATGTATCTTTCGTTCTCTCGGACAAAGATCACTACTTTATTATGATTTTATCCAAGTACCCTAAAAAGGAAAACTTACGGAGGAGTAACGTCATACTATTTATACATATATACATACGTTCAACTTCATCGACGAAACGCGAAAACGTTACTTTTTTTTCTCTTTCGGAGCAGATCGAAAGCCGGCTCGTAAATGCAGCTCGTGTGAGCGCGCGCGCACGCGCGCGCGTGTGTATGTCCGTCTTTCGGACTAATGTAAATCTTGACCTTGAACAGAACTTTCCTTCCAAAGCATATATTCCGTTTTTAGCTTTAAAATTATCTATTTTTATTTTTCGACTAGTTATGATGCTAATATTACGACCTAATAACCTGTCTCGTATTTTGTTTATGTTTGTATTTTAGTTTCTCATAAAATTCGCAAGTAAATAGATAATTGAATTACGTTAGATTTTAGACAACAGTTTAACGGATTTATCATTTAATTCGAGTGTACAAAAATATCCTATAATTATTATATATTATTTAATCGAAATAAGTTTAAAAAAATTAATTTCCTCGTATAGAAGATACGTGAGATATGAGCAGGTGCAAGATCGATTCTCGAAGAATTGATTTTTTCGTATTATAGGTTTTTCAAACTTACAATTAGTGATTAATATTATATCATTCTTTTCTTTTTTTTTTATCCTTTATCGATTAAAAGTGGTAGATATACAGTGACAGAGAGAATTATTGTCACAGATTACATTTTTCTATAATATTTTTTGTAAATTTGTAAAATGTACTATTTGTTTTTTTTTTTTATTTTATTTTATTTTTTATTTAATTATATAATATTTTATTTAATGTTTTATCTTATTTTTTATTTCATTATATAATATTTTATTTAATATTTTATTTAGTATTTTATACAATATAAAAATGAAATAAAGTATCTTAAATACTTTTGACAATATTTATATTAGATATTATAGGAAAATAATCTTTTGTCAATATTTTAGGTCAAAATTGTATATATATATACACATATTTTCCATCGAAAAATATAAAAATTCGTTCGTCATTCTTTTTGATTAGTATACATTAGCTTTATTTACTATCGGTTTAGTCAATATTTGTTCCATTTCTCGTGAAAAGATTGGTCATTAGTCTTTTTCTTAACACACAAGGAAAATACCTTAAATCGAATAGTTGGAGTGCTTGGTAAAAGTAAAGCATTTCTTGATTCTCAGATATCAGGACAGGCTTTGATATCAACGACATCGTTTCTATCGAAATGTTACTTTTTCCTAATAGCTTTCACCGACAAAAGAAGAAATGTAAAAGCACATTTTAACTATGAAATATATACTACCAGTCAAATATATTTGATCACGTAAAAATTTACAAAATGATTATAAAATATTACAATTGTAGGGTTCATCGAAATAACTATCTTTTATTTTCAGTATTGCTTTACATATTCCTGGAATCTTAACTAACAACTTCTACGATTTTGTGAAAGCAATTTGTTTTTAAGAATTAATTAAAACTAAATTATAAACGTGATCGAAATAATACGTAATCGATGTATCGAAAATACGTTTTACACAAATAAAATTTCTTTTTATGGATGATACATTAAAATCTAAACATAATTAATTATTTATTGAACAAACGATTGATTTCCTATAGAAATACTAAGGCAAAATTGGATAGAACACTTATTAAAGTCAATTTTTAATCATTTTGCAAGATGATCAAATAATTTCGACCTGTAGTGTATTATAATTCTTCTTTTTTTAGATACAAACAAAAAATTAGATTATACAGGGTGAATCATTGAATTCATTAATAATTTTATCAATATATCTATAATAATATTTATCAAAAGTATTAGTATAAATAATATTATAACTTTTGGATTATTATAAAGTCTGTTAAGTTTTGAATTCGTTAAGATCCTCATTAAAAATTGTAATTTAAATGTAAGCGCCGTAAGTAAAAAAATAAAAAATGAAAGTAAATATTTCCACTTCCGCGAATCCTTCCTTTGAAGAAATCGGATAAAGTATAAGAGCAGCGTTCGTTACGTCAGGAATTTTTTTTCCCCCTTTTCTTTTTTTTTTTTCCTTTTTTTTTTACTAGAAAAATAATTTAATTTCGTAATCACTTCAAACGATTGAAACGATGAAAAAGCCGGTCGAACTCGTTAGAAAAACTTGGCGATTTGGAGTTTGATCGATGACACAACGACAACGATATATATATGTATACACATATGTACACACGTACGTGCATACACGTGTACATAGAAATATATATATATATATATTAACCATGTAAAAATATTACAAATTTTTCGATATAAATAAAAAAAAAAAAGACAAATTGTCAGTCGTTTATTTTGAAAATTTCACGAAAATAATAGACAAAAATTTACCAAATGTTTATAAAAATAATACAATCCTATAAGTTCATCGAAAAATCTCTCTTGCTTTCAATGTATTATATTATAAATTTCGTTGCAATTGTCGAGTAAGATAAAATTGCGTGTGATGACGTTAACGGTATGTTTAAAAGAACATTGGTGGTGGTGTCTGCGTTCGAAAAATGTGTCGAACGCGTTTCCTTTTCTACCGTGTTGAAGAGTGCGCTCGCGCGTTGACGATGACGATGGGAGCAGGTTGCCGTAACGCCTTTGAACGGCATCATTCCTTGCTCGAAGTTTGCGGGGTATATACGTGCGTACGTGCAAGTGAGTGAGTGAGTGAGTAAACGAGATATATATAAGAATCGTTCAAATACCCCTTGCACCTTCTTATCAATTATTTCCTCAATCTTTTATTATACTTATTTATATTATATGTATACATTTTTTATCTAATTTTTTTTTTTAATGATACCAGTTACCATTTTTTAAATATTTATTTATTTGTTTATTTATTATTGTTATTTTCTTTTTTGTGATATCCAGAAAATAACTTACACGACGTGCATAATACATACATCGGACGACCATACTTTAATCGCATTAGTGCGACTTTAACGGTCGTCGACTCCCTGTGGATTAAAGTGCCTTTTGCTTTTCTCTCGATAAGTCTTGTAAGTATGTAACGGTTATAACGTAACGGATATGCCATTATACATTGACCATAGATATCGATATTTTCGATGTAACGATTCTTAGATTTTTAAAAGATATACTTTTCGCTAAGACCTTATGATCTTTAAGATCAATCTCCTCTAACGTCCTTGTCATTTCTTCTTTTACCTTCCATTTGTAACACATATTACACGTAATAGATACACACACGCACATATATAGATATACATGTACATATAATTACATTTATATATATATATATAATACTTAGAATCCTTACAAATGCGAATTTATATTATACTCGTAGGTGTATCTCATTTCCGTTTGTAAATGTGCACAAAAAAAAATATAGCCGTGAAGATTCGAGTTAGTTTTTTAAATGACTTAATCGCGAAGAAAATTGTTGAGTATCGCGAGCATGAACGAACGCAGCAGCTGTCGAGAGTATTCGTTCCTTTAAAAGTGTTTCAGCAATATTCCGTCCGGTAACGAGCTGATTGCTACGGATTATTTTTTTTTCTCCACTCTCATCTCTCTTTCTATCTCGTCGTTTCCTCGATATCATGCGACGTGCTACAAAAAATTCTCGGATTATATTTTTTTATTTTTTTTTATAATTAAATGAAAACCAAATTACAACGTTTAGAAAAAGTATCCATAATTTATAACGAATATACCTACGATATCATATAACGAGTTCAAATATTCTCAGTACGTATGTAATAATAATAATAATAATGATAATAATTTAAAAAAGAAAATAAAGATTTTTTTTTTTTAGTAAATATATAATATCATTTTATTTAATTTCAAATATTTCAAGTAATAATTATAAAACGTTTACAAAATACCAATGTGTACTATGATTTTAGGATATATTTTTTATTATATTATAATATAGAAAAAAAAAAGAGAGAAAAAATGGAAAAGAAATGTAACATTTACATATACGTTTTCACGTTGAGATATTACAAACAGTACGTTGAAGGAAAAAAATAAAATCGATATTTGCATTTTATTCACACTTATATTTCCCACATACTAACTTTAAAGTTTTTACGATTTACATACTTAAGTCGAACTTTACGAGCCGTTTATCATGGATAAAATTCTTTCTCTCTTTCTTTTTTCTTTGTTATTTCTTTCCGTCCATCGTCAAATTTGATTTTCTCGTCTAACTTAGTACACGTGCGAAATAATTTTATTACCGTACTACAACCACCTCGTACATTCGTTCTAGACGGTCGTGCGAGAAAACGAAGAAGAATCGTCTCGGTGCACGAACGGCCAAGTTACGAGACCTTTTACGAGGCCGGTAATCACAATAGACCATGCCTAGAGAACCAACTACGTGTCTATAATACATGTAACATATGTGTATACCTAGATATATGTATGCGTATGAATATGTCGTTGAACGACGATGTATATTCTGGAACGAAACTATAACGTGTTAGCTTGTAGCGAATATTTTGTTTTATTTTTTTTTTATCAAAGAATTTTCCAATAGATAGAATATTTTATCAATAAGTAAGAATATCTTTTTTTTCTATTGCGATAAAATAATACAAGTCACGAGAATCATTTTTATTTCTTTTTTATTATTATTATTATTATTATTATAAGATATTTCGTATACACGTGTACTTTATGATAAAAAAAAAATATAAAAGTTATTTTATTTTCAGACTATTTTTATTTGTATATTTATTTGTTTGATAATTTTATTTGGAAATTTGTTTTTTTCTTTTTTTTTTTTTTTTTCGTAAAATTCATCAACGAATATAATACGGTCGGTGCATAATTTATGAAATAAATGATGATACGAATATTGCGAGAGTAGATAGCCTTTCAGTGTACCCCTTCTAATTTTCTCTCGCTAGTTGGATAACGATAACGATAACGATGATGAGGAAGAAGTGGGACGAGGGGGGGGGAATAAATAAAGGGGTTGCGCTTCTCCTATTCACTCGTTCCAACGAGTTTGAATTTTATTCGCGTTCGTTCTACTAATATCCCAAGCATAACAGGTTCCTATATGGTTCTACTATAACCTCCTCCTCCCCTTCCCCTTTCCCCCTTTCTCTCCCTCTTTCTTCTCCTTTCCTTCTCGTTGTTGTCGCATAATTTATCGTTTGCAGTGCGTGGGTGTATGTACGCCGGGCAAACAAACCTGCGTTTTCAGGACTAACTTTCCCTTTTTCGGAAATTCCCTTTTTCTACATTTTTTCCTAATATCTCGGAAGTGGAATGAAAAGAAAGTATATTGAATGATTTTTAATTTGAAACTCTAACCATAAGTGATAATGATCGACATTATTTTCTTCTCGGAATTAATCCGTTATAGAGAAGTTCTGTAGGTGTATGGAAAAATACGGGTATGTAAGAAAAATTTGTCATTCGTGTTTATTGAATCGTATTTTTATTTATTATACTTATTTAAAAATTAAAATGATAAGTAACGGTGTAGTATTTAAAAATAAAATATATATCACAGGAATACTTTTGCATGTATTCGTATAATTATTATCGATTATTTAATTATTCTAATACGAAACTAACACAAAATATTCTGTCAAAAAGAGAAGACAATATTATAATCAGATTACTAAGAAGTAAAAAAAAAAAAAAAAACAAATAGATGACGTATGGTGTACGATTAAGATAAATCATGCTCTAGATCCAGCGTGCGTGTGCTCTTAAAAAGATACTAATTGTAAGTTGCAAAAGAAAAATCGTTTACAGACATATTTTTCATTTTTATGGAAATTATTATCGTTTCTGATTTCACGGCACTTTACTACTATTACTATTATTCTACTACTACTATTACAGATCGGAAAGGTGTGGTCAACGTGTTCACAATAAGCAAACAACGTTCTTTTAATTGACCAATTAAAAGAACGATGATTTACGTTACGTATTAATTAACCATTTAGAGATTAAGATTATTCATGTTAAACGTTTAAAAATAATTATTTATTCTTTTTCATTTGACCGATCTTTAAATATTTTCTTTTGCATGGTTTAAACGAGACGGTGGTGTCGCGTTATAATCCTTTCCTCCTTTTATTTCGAATTTTGCACGTCTTCTTTATTTCTTCAACTTCATTTTCTCATTACATTATGACGCATACATTTACATATATACGGCTATCTTTTTTTTTTT